CCCTGGCTGTGCCTCCCTCCAGCCAGGATCCAAGGGATGGGGGCTCTCAAGTGACAGGCTCTTGATAGTGGTTTGAAACTATTTTCCCTCAGAAGTGGCAAGCCTGGTGGATATCTAAAACAAACCCTAAGAGAATTTAAGACAGATGAACTCTGGAGGGATTTTTTTTTCCTTGACTCAAGATTATTAAGGTGATTATTAAGGTGATTAAATCTGAAAGCCCCTCTGATCTGTGTTAGCTCCACTTGCTAGTGAGATATCTACATGTAGCTGCCAAAGAAAGATCAATACAAGGGTGACTAAAAGGAAAACAGATAATTGCTGAGATATATTGGAAGATCCACAAAGAGTTTTCAGGGTCTACACTCACCCGGAAGGAGATGAAATGCAAGGGAGATGCTCTAAATGGTGTCACTCAGAGATCTCAGGGAAGCAAGTGGCAGTAAAGTGAAGTCATCAGGGACCAAGTTGGAAGCAGTGGTTTGACACAGCATCATATTCAGCACAGGGAACCCAGCACTGCTCCTTCAACAGCCTCAAACTAATTAAGAAGTTTCTTGCCTCAATAACCTCCATTTTTCCCCACTGCTCTGTCTCAGTCACACGGCCTGTCCTGGTCAGACAGAAGGGACCATATTCTGCAAACATTTACAATTCCCTTTGCTCTCCCAAACTGTTTTTGGATAGCAGGTGGACACCAAAGTTCATAAACATTTGTAGTGTTGGGTTCTTGACACAGAGTGTCTGAAACCGTTTTCTTTTCAGCTACCTTAGCAAGGTGAGTCGAGAATCCAAGATCTCAAAATACTTGGCAAGCAGATAACTACAGCATATTCTACTGAAACATATTGCAAAACTTTGTATGATCTTTAGTCTCTAAGGTGTTGCTTGTTTAGGTATAGACAAATCCACATTTTGAAACGAAAAGTTGGTTGTACTAAAAAAAAACCCTGGGGATTCCAGTGCCTAAGACTGTCAGTGCTGGGTTTGACTCCACTTGGCCTTTTTAATTCCCATTTCCCTGGTTTAGGAGGGCTGGTGCTGGGGCAGAGCAGGCTGTGCTGTGGGACCAGCTCTGATGAAGTGAAGGGCTCGTGTGCTGCTGGCTCTGAGGTGAAAACAACCACTCTGAAATCTCAGGGCTTCCTTAGAAATGTAAAAAAATGGGGTGGGAGCATAAGTTAATTGTGCTTTTACACACTGTTATACTTGTCAGCGTGCCAGACTCTACATTTCTTCCAAGGGTGAAATGAAAACTCCAAATTCATGTGGTTATGAAACAATTTCAGAATGAGCACTCAGCAAAGAATTATAAAGTGGGAAAGACACAGTCCTGTGTCACAGCTGGTTGAGAAGGGGCTGTGTTGATCAAGGTTTCTTGCAGCTTGGAGGAGCCTTTTGGAGTGTATTGAAACCATTCTGTGTCTGTGTGTTGAATGTGTGCAAGGTCCTGATTTGTTATGACATTTCTTTGATTAGGGGATGAGGCAACTGGCAGAAGGCATCACCATCATTCCAAGAAATCTCATTTCTCTGCAACTGCAGATTTGAGAAATGAATCTGTTTTGCCCTGAATTACACTGGAATCCATTCATGGGTTGCAAACTGGGCATGGCAAGAAATCAGGGGCACTGCAGGGGACTTCTGGAGAAATGCTGATTGCAGTGGGAGACACTGAGGAACAGGGACCAAGCCCATTTTCTCTCCTGCAGTAATGGAGCCTGAGGTACCTGAAGGCCTTTCTTAGCTAAGCTTGGGTCAGCCCCTCTTGGTTTTAGTCCTGGGACTGAGGGAATGCAGCACCATTTTAAAATTGCATTAATAACCCTTGTGTTTTCCTTCTGGACCGCAGGTACTTCACAGAGACTGTATTTGCAGGCTCAGTCCTGATTGGCATCTCCAGGAAGGTAGAGTCAAGTCTCAAATAAGTATCTCATTGGACAAACAGCATTTTGCTTATTTTTGTTGGTAGAGATGAGTCAAGGAGGGAAAAAATGCAGAAAGAGGGGGTCAAAATACCCTGAGTCTTAATCCAAACTGGAGAAAACCCATATTAAACAACTGAGTGTGCCTGAACTTATCACATGCAAATCTACTCTTTTAGACACATAGGCCAAGACACAGCTTTAAGGATTTGAGTCTAACTCTCACTTGGATTGTGAGCTCCCATTGATGACACCATGTGCTAATTCAGGCTCCCAGGTTTCCGTGCACTGTTCGTACCATGAAGAACAGTTGGTCTTGAGGGAAAACATTTACATAGATGACAGCTATTTTCGGGAAAATGAAAAGTACTGGGTGGAAAAGGAGGTTTTGACATCGTGTGAAATACGGGGTTTACACACAGGAGTTTTTGCTGTGTGTGTATAAACGGGTGATTTGCCATCTATTGATTCACACACCATTTGTAAGCGTCTAATTTATTTATTTATAGAGATGTATGGAAACCAGGGTTTGAAAAGCAGTTTGCATAACATCTGGTATGTCAACAATGTAACCTTTCAATTTACTTGTTGGTAAAAATGTCAATGTAATGAACCTGGCCTCAGCATTGGTTTACACAGATTTGCTGGCAGACAAAGCAGTAATGATTTGCATGTCAGTGTGAGTGACATGTGCCCTCCAGATTTGAGTAGTTTACACAGCTAAGAGGAATAAAAAGGGTAGAGCACATGGCTGGTTCCTCACGTACTTGTGCTGGCAGGACAAATCTCATGTATTTGTGTGGTGTGAAACATTCCATCTCATTTTGACTTTTCAAAAGCTGCCTTTGATTTTTCACTGAAACTACTTTTTTTTTTTTGTTTTGGATGTATGATAAAAAAGATAAGAGAAAAAAGTAGACCCGAGATTGACTTCAGATCCAGAAGCACATAACCCATGAACCTTTCCTGCCCTTGTTTCAATTACTTTCACAATTTATGTATTTTCCACAGACAAAGATGTTGTACTGGGATGTGACAGAGGAATCTAGTGGATTCTTGATTACTCTTAATAATATGCCAACAGGAATGACAGCAATAATGCATTGTTTACACCTTTTATATTACTGCCTGTACAAGATGGGTACCATAAATCACATCACATTTTTGTCACTCTGTGACTCACTGCTTGACAATTTGAAAGTAGAAGAGTAATAAATGCAGTTGATCCTGAATAGAAAAGAACCTTGCTTAAGTGGAATCAAAGTCCATGGATGGCACCAGATATTCCTCTTTATTTTAGGGAGTTTGGCCTTTCCCAGAGCTCCATTGCCCAGCCCCTCTCCCCAAATTACCTCTGTGAAAATGCAGGAGACCTGATCTTAGGAAATTGCAGGTTATCTCCTCCTTGCTCTCCTGCCCTGACTCCTCACCCCAAAGATCTGCTTTGAGGTTTGGTTTTCAATCAAGTTACCAAAAAAAAAGAGGTGGAGGAGGGCAGGAGACAAGGAGACAGTTACTTGACCACTTTGCTTGTGCTTTTTCTTTTTCCTTTTGTGTGTTTTGTTTTACAGCACCAGCTGCTTCCCATTGTTCTGCCCACACCATCCTGTTTGGGTCTGATTTGGGTGGTGTGTGTCTGTGTCTGTGAGGGAGAGGGTCTCAGGGAAAGCTTTGTGCATCTGTTATTATCTGATAGCTTAAAAAAAAATTACAACCATATATGGGCTCACACTCACAGCTAAGAAAAGGAAACCAGCTTTTCCACAGCTCTCTTGTTTTGGGGGCAGATTTCTAGTCTCTAGATGAATACACAGCCTGAACCAATGCCAACTGCTTGTAAGGGCTTCTAGGGTTTTTTCAGTCATTCTTTTCTACTCACTGCATATATCTGCTATTTGTCCATCATTAATATTTCCTTTATACATTTAAAAAATATTGTAAGTTGATATTTTACTTTTAATCCAGTTGGCCAAACTCCATCATAGGACCTGCAGCACATCCAGTGCCTGGGGTGATGTGCAAACCCTGCAGCTCCTGGGGGGGAGCAATGCTGGAGCAGAGCTCCCTCAATCCCAGTTTCCACTTCAGGAAATACAGGCCAGAAAGGATCTGCTGTGGCAGGGATGTGCACTGGGGGTGCCCAGCATGAGAGACCTGCAGTGGGGCACCTTTCTCTGCAATCCAGGCAGATCCAGGTACTCCCAGATATCACAGGATTCGATGATCTGATTTTTAAAAAAATGTCTTTATTAAAAATTTATTAACTGTTTGTGTGACACTTCTGATTGTAGTCCTGTTTAGGCAGAGGGGTTTTTGCTTTAATCAGATGGTTTTTTTAGGCTGGAGCTTTTTAGCAAAAGGCACAAATTCAGTGTCTTATCTGGCAGATCAGATGCACCTGAAAATACATATGGGGTAGGCTCTCCAGAGGTTATTGGGGAACGAAAGGAATGCTGGACAATATTGGGTAGGGCAAGGCAGGACAGGATAAGACTGGCAAGAAAGTTATATATTTGTAGAGAGGAACACATAAAAATCACTAATTACACAAAGGTTATACAGCTGAGGACTTTACTGACAGATGTTGTTGGGGGTTATTTTAATGTACCTAAACAATAATAACAAACCCCTATAAATATTTGAATGGCGCTGACATTTATTTATTTATTTATTTATTTACTTGCATGGGGCTCCTGCAGAGTTCTCCCTCCAGCTCTGTCGACTCAGGGCCCCATCCAGCTTGGGCTCTGTGTAACATTACTTACAACACAGCATTATTTGGAGTCCCAGGCACACTTCCCACCACATTAAAATCAGGTTGAGCTCTCACAGGTTATGCTGCTGGCCTGGAAGGTACAGTCCTTGAAAGACAATCCTTGAAAGGATTTCCCCTTTCCCCCTTTTGTTGGGCATTTGCTCTTTTTTACCATCTGGATTGAAAAATGAGGACGTGACTGAGTCGAAGCCCAAATCCCACCAAGATTCTTTGCTGTGTAGCCAAAAGCTGCTCAACCCTCCTTCCCTCTCCTGTATTTTGCCTGTAATGTTAAATTTCTCTGCTCCTTGTTTACACAGATGGAGGCAACACGTTCAGTTGCAAACCCAAAGCCCAACCCAGCAGCTCCCAACAGGAGCTGCTCTGCCCTGGCACCTCTGGAGCCTCAGATCCAGACTGAACTCCCAACTTCAGCTTCTCCACTTCAAACTCCTGGAAAGATGTGAAGCCCTTGAGCTCTTGAAGGCTCTGAACCACTTGACCATTCCTCTTCACTGGATAAACCACTCCTGCTTGTTTATCTTTCCTGCTTTTTCATGCTCTGGACTATCAATAAGGTAAGAAAGTGCTTCTCAGGCTGCACCAACACTCTCATATGTGCTGAGCTCCTGATGCACAGGCAGAAATCATCCATGTGTGCACACCAGCTGCATTTTTGGGGGATGCTGAGCCCAGGATTCAGAGCCCATCCATGGAGAACAGAGCTTCTCGAGTTTATATTTCCAGGAATGCCTGAGGGCTGGAAGCAAAGCCACTGGTTAATGTGCATTTGGAAGGAAAGGCCTGGTAGCCACCTCCAAACACACTGGGAGGCTCCTTTCACTTGTGCAGTGAAGGAAAGAGGAGTGACTAGAGGAGAGTTTGACTTGACTGGAAATGAGGTGGGGAAAAGAATAACAACAAAAAAATAAGGTGTAGGGCAACAGTTAGTTCAGAGAAGAGGCTTATAGAGGGTTGAGTTTCATTTTGGGGTTCTGATTTATCTGAGCTGAGCGTGGCATCAGCTGAAATTCAGACCGAAAGTAGGACACAAACTTAATTGCAAAACCAGCTGAAACCACAGGATGCAGTCACAGAAAATTCTCACTCGTTTGAGGCTGGCATAGGGTTTCACTGAGCTTCAGCAGGAGGTTTTGGGGGCCCCAAAATAGATTCAGGGAGTTAAAATTCGGTTGCTTTCCCAAATTCAACCCTGGCCTAGCAGAATTACTGAAGGGGGTGATTAGAGAGCATCCACACAAGTGGGAGTGACGGCTGGCTGGCACACTGCTCCTCCACCTAACAGGGAGATTTGGAGGGGATGTGTTGTAACTGTGGGTGTAAACAGATATGGTCATCCTAAAATACCTCTGTCCAACACCATGGCAAGGAGTGACACGGAAACCGAAGGTCAGCAGCTGTTTCTCTTGCAGAAAAAAGTGACCCAAGAGCCTCAGACCTGCGGAGACTGGGCAGCCACAGCTCTCACACTGCTCTTCTAATTGTCAGCTGCTGATGGCTGATTCCTGGAAATAACCAGGGAGAGAGAGGTCTGTGCCTAACATGAACAGACTTGTGGTTGCACTGAAAAGCCAAAACAACAGCTCAGAGCCAGTCATTGCAGTAGCATCGCTGCCTCTCTGACACCGTGGCTGTGCTGCTCCCCCAGAGAATATTTGCTGCTACAGACATTTGTCCCACTCTGGATTTCACTCCTCCTGCCACTATTCTGCTTTCCTCTATGCAGGCAGACTTGGTCTGGCTCTCAGCAGCCTGAAGTGTATTTTTTCCTGTGTTGGATGCAGACAGGAATCCTGTGGGATGGGTCAGGGCTCAGGAAGGTGTTGCACAGAGGGACTCCCTTGCACTGGTGCTCACCCTGAGTTACTGGGGAGTTCCTCCACCCTGCTCTGCCTCCCTCATTGCCGCGAGGGCACAGACATGCAGGGGAGGAGCTGCAGAGGTTTTGTTTCTTCACAGTATTTCGGAAACCAAAAATATCTGAGACTGGGAGACATTGCCTTCAGCTCTAAACTGTGCTCTCCTTGGGTATCCTGAAGGCATGGGATCTTCAGGAGGCCCGATCCTGCGCACAGTGGGGGAAGCTGAGGATGTGATGCAAAGCCAGTTTATAGCAGGACAGCAGCTGCTGCTGAGCTGAGTGGATTTTGGGCAGCAGAGAGGTCAATCCTGTTACTGGGACAGGCGAGCATTGAAACAGCATTTTCTGGTGCCTTTGGCATTTGGAATTAATGGGTGTGAAGCTTCTTTTCACTTCTGCTTTTCCTGTGCATGGTTAGTGTGATGCACGTGTGGGGTGGAGTTTTGCAATCGCCACATTTCCCCGTCGGTTTGGGTTTGTTCCTCTGATTTTTACAAGGGATGAACAGGCTATCACTTCAGGGCACAGCAGACAGCAGTGCATCAGGGGAGGGAAATCCAAGAAAAATAGTATCTGAATACTATTTGTCTTGCAAGCACATGTAGGCGTTTATTATTTCTGAGGGCGCTCTCGTCAGTCGGACACTGAACAGTTGTGACATCTGGAGCAAGTTACTGTCCCCAGAATCGGTTCACACAGTGTGGAGTTTGCTTTTTTAAATCCACCACAAATAAAGCCCAGCATTATCTCCCTGTCCCCACAAGGGCAAGTGGGAGCCTCCTGGGAAAATGCTGCAGCCTCCAGGGAGGCGGAGAGGTTTGGCAGAAGGGGCTGTTTGGGTCCTCTCTGCCTTGCCGTGGGTTGAGCAGTGATGAAACCCCCACTCACACTGGGAGAGGGGCCCCTGCTGAGGTGCACAGGAGATGAGACAATGGTCATTTCATTCAAACAGAAACAAGGACCAAGTGCAAACAATGACCCACAGCTCCAAATCCTCCGAACCGTCATCCCAGGCTGTGTTGAGGATCCTCCAGTTGGTGTTCACAGGTTTGTGCCTTGCTGACACCTCCCACTCTGCTGCTGGGAGCTGGGAAGGCCACAACCAAGTTGGCTTTCCTTCCCACCCCATCTGCCTGTATCAGGGAAGAAATACTGTCTGTTTGTTTAGGTAAGATATTAGTCTGCCCCCGGAGCTCCAGGTCACTGTAAATGTAACACAAACCCTATTTCCTGTTAGGAAAGGGGAAAAAATATGCCTGTGAATTGTCTCTGATGTGCTGCCAATTGTCAGGGAAGATTCAATTTGGTGGAGAATTACTGTGCTCCTAAAGAGCTGCACTGGTGATGGAGATTTAGGGCAGCTAATCTTGCCAGAAATGGGAGATTTGTCTTTGATTTCCATCAAACCAGGATTGTGCCTGGTTGCCCAGCCTGCATGGCACAAATGGCTTGGGGGGGAGGCTGAAGCAGCAGCTCAGGTTCATGGGACCATAGTGGGACACGAGGGGACACCTGTGCATGGCTGAAGGAGGGCTGGGCAGGGATTTGGGATGAGGCTGGCAGGTGCTGGGACAAAGCTTTCTGTCCTACCACGGTAGAGGAGAAATGGGGTTTTCTTGCTGCCTTGCCAAAAGGTCAGACCAAAAGAGACAAGAATTTGCTCTGTGTGTGTGATGCACACACGTGTTCACTGCTAATCCAATAACGCAAATATGTGACCTGTGGAATGACCCAAAGCTGCCACAATAAATAGTGCCGTGGATCACTCCTGGGTTTCACCTGCTTTTGCACTCTCCATAGCAAGGCCAATGTCAGCTGGTGTGTAAGCAGCACCACGTGGACAGGTGAGCTACAGCTACACATTTGGGGTCTCTTATGGTAGAAGCCATCCCCCCACCCCCTCCCAAAACTGGCAACAAAATGGGTTTCCCTTTTTTTTAAATTATGTTTATTGCAAAGGGTACTATTTTAACTTAGGGCTGGATAAAGGTCCACTGCACTTAGATAAAGCTGATGTTGTACATTGTGTTGCTTGACCTACTCTGTAGGCCTTGTCTCCCAGAACATTCATCCTCCAAAGTTTTCTATGGCAAAGAAATATAAAAAACTCTATGGTCTGTGTTCCATGGAATTACCCAAATGTTAATTGGATATCAGAGAGACTTTGCAACCAGGCATTCTCACTGTGTCCATGTGCCAGTGTTGAACCTTCCACAAAAGAGAACATCTAAATCATGTTAGCATTAGTGGCAGAGTAATTGTTAAATAAAAGCTGTATAATCCCTAAAAAGATTTAATTTTTATTTAGCTTACCACTGCAACCAACAATAGCTTGCTCAATGGCTGGAAGGAGACCAGAAGAAATGCAGAAAAGCACTTTTAAGGGCTATAAGGCATGCTTTTTTTTGCCATTTGGTTGCCTCTCCTAGCTGTTTTTATAGAGCTGGTGAGACAAGTGAGGGCTCAGCTGCTGCCCCACACTCCCTGTCCCTCCCCAGCCCCTGCAGGCAGAGACACACTGGCAGCATCTCCCTCTCCAGTCCCTGAGCACTCAGCCTGGCAGTGGCTGATGGATCTGAACCAGCTGGGCACACCCAGCATCAGCACAGTTATCCTCCCTGTGCTCCTTGGAAACGGGGTGAACTCCTCCTGTGCTCCAGTCCAGCCTTCCAGGCAATCCATGGGGGTGTCACATGTTCTCTCCAGCTGTTTGTAACACTCATCCAGGTTTTCCCTGGTAGGGTGGGTGAGTTTGGTCCAGCCCACACAGCTCCCATGGCCACGGGGGGACAGTCCCAGCCCTTTGTCCAGAGGTTCCTTCTTCTGTGGAAAGCACAGCAGCTGCTCCTGGCAGAAATACAGGTGTTTGTTCTCCTTTTCCTGGGGGGCCTCTGAGTTTCAGAGTGATGCTGTTGGAACACAAAATAAAAACACAACACCTTGTTCCATCCAATGCTGCTTAACAGAGACAGGGGGTCAAAAACCAGTGCTGCAGCCCAAACCACGTGTCTGCAAGGCTTGTATTCCTCCATCAGCCACTGCAACCACTGTGAGGTGTCACTCTCCCTCCCTGTCCCTCTCTCAAACACTTGCTGAACTGTCCCTGGCATCTGAAAGGCCTGGTTAGTTGATGATTTCTCTCCTGTTCCTTCAGCCCTTTGCTGGCTGCCTCCTGAATACCTGCCTGCATTAGGCTCGTCATGCTTCCCCTTTTTGCATGTCTATATATGTATATATAATTCCTATATACATATTTTATGCACATTTTATACACATATTTTATATATGTGTACTAACATTGAGAGAAAGAGGTGATTTGGCATCAGTGTTGCACTAAATGAAGGTGGGGTATTAACAAGAAAGCAAAGTGTTGGGAAAGGCCTCTCCATCTCCCTTGCCTGTGTTCTGAAATCTCCTTTAGAGATGGCTCCTTTCCAGTCACCCTAAATCCTATTAATCCCTTTTCTATTTTACTCAATTGAAAAAAAATGCCATCATTGCTAAGGAAGTTTGAGATCTACTTTGAAAGGGTAAAATGGACTTAATCTGGTTCTCGTGTGATAAATACATATTAAGCTTCTTGGTCTGTCTGCACCAAGGATGACAAAATGTAATGCTTTAAAATCGATGTAAGGGACAGATCTTTTATTAATCTTTCTAACCTACTGCTCTAAAATACATCCTACATTTAAAAATGTGTATTTACAGTATGGTTTTTAGCATAGGTGAACATATCCAAAATACCCAGGCAAAAAGTGTCTGCTACTCCAGTGTCATGAACTGTTGGGAAAAAATAGCTATTACTCACCAAATCTAGTATCCAGTTCCTGGGGAAAAGATATTTTCTCCTGAAAACACCTGCAGGGTAAAGTTTATTCCCCTTCTGTCAATCTGAGTAACAAAGTAAGGATGCTATAATAAATGATGGCAGGGGCTGAAAAAGATGTAAGAGGATGGAAAACAAATCATTAACCCACTGCACCAACTCTGCTGCATCTGATAACAGGCAGCAGACACAGGAGTGGCAGCACATCCCTTTCACCCCTGGGTTTATCTCCTCTTGCTTGTTTTGCATGGGGTTTTTTGTTTTATCCAGCAGCTCTGAATCTTGTCCCCTCTGTGATGAGCCTCAGACACACAGGATGCCCACCTTCACTTCCTGCAAAAGTCAGTATTTCCTAAAAATCTGCCCGTGCTCCTTCCCTGGCCCCGCTCGCTGGAGCTGCGCCGGGACAGCAGCTGACCAGGGTCACCCCAGTGGCATGGAAGGAGCCAGAACCCTCTGCAGTTTGTTATTCGTGCTGTTAAGTGTGACCTGGAAATTCGTATCCTTGTCTAACCAGCTGCCAGGTCCTTCCATTCCTACAAAGCCACTCTTTTTCCCTCCTTGCCCCTCCCTCGCTGTCTGTCCGTCCAGAGACACGAAAAACCAACGACGTGAGTTCATGCTCCTGACAAGATGAGCGTTGTCAGGAATATACAAGCTGTGGTTTTTCCTTTCTGCATCCTGAAAGTGAAGAAAAAAGACCTTTGATGTATCTGAAGTTCTGTTATTCTTTTTCCTTCTTTCAGCTAATAAAAGGTGTCATTATATTATCACACTTGTGTCCCTTCCATGTTTATCCTGGCCCATATTCTGCTCTGCAACAACAAGAACATAAAACATCCCATGAGAAACTCTAGGTTAAGTTTATTTGACTTTTTTTTTTTTAACCTATGTTGTAATCAGGATTGTTTTGCTAACTTAGTTCACTGAGGTAGTTTTTGGTAAAGGCTAAGATTTGCTTAAGTGGCCAGAAAGAAAATACATATGACTGGTTTATGCCTTGCCACCCTGAATTGTAATGTTTTGTTTATTATGACTTTGGGCATGTTTTATGGGTGAGTGGAGAGGTCACAGCCTCGCATTTGAAACCTGTATTTGTGCTTCACGGGTTCTGGGATTTGAAACCACAGTCACTGAACTTCTTGGCTGCCTTAGGTGACTGTGACCAAGTGCCAGAGCAGGTCCCCTCTGTGCTCAGCCTGCCAGGAGCTGAAGTGAGACACTGGCCTGGGATGGGAGCTCTCCAAAAGAGCAGATGAGGCTGAAATAGCCCCACCACAGTGTACTCTGCTCTCCTGTCTTCCTCTGTCCTCATTCCCAGCCCCTTGCCCTTTTTAATGTTCTTAAATGATCTTTCTTCAATCCCTTAATGTTCTTTCTAGTTAGTCTGTTCTTTTGGAGATCAATGTGTTTGGAAATGAATATGTGCTCATATCCCACATGGAAAACGTGTCAGAGATAAGCCCGACTTCTGTAGTGGTGGATGCAATTATAACAACTCAATACAAAAGACTCCTCACACTGCACATGGAAAAATGGCTTTGGGATGTGTCCAGTGCTTTGTATTTCCACACAAATTGAAGCCTTCTAAAAAAAATGAATTCTCATTAACCTAATGGGCTGTAGCTGTTTTACAGTGGAGAAAACTGAGGTCTCAAGATTTCACTGATGGCATTATGCCCACAGCAATCCCCAGGCTGATGATTTTTTTGCCACTCTCTCCTAAATTCTGTTCATCTGATGGTATTTTATGTCCCTAATACTGGTGGTAACAATGTTGATGCAGCCATTCCCTCCCAAAACAAATATTACCGTGAAGCTACTACAACAAACAATCCCTGTTGACCAACATTCACTGGTTCCTCACCTTTATATATATATATTTATATAATATTTCTAAGCTCAGTATGTTCAGTTTCATCCCTCTGTTGAAAGACTCCTTCTGTTAAATACAGTTTTTCCCAGGCCTTGGTGGGATGGATAAAAGAGCTGCATTAGTCTGTAAAATCACCCTGGGGAGATCCTGGTTCAGTTGTCACCTCCAGTTATTTTGTTCTGGAATAAACAACTGAGGTTCAGCCCTTTGACCTCAGGAAAGGAAAATTAACAATGTATCCTGAGGACACATTTGAGGAAAATTGTCTTGAGGAAAATTAACAATGTGTCCTGCCTAAACCAAGTTATCTCTTCAAATGTAGAACTAATACATCAGAAGTACAACGAAAACACACAATCTTCTTGCAAAAATGTATTTTTTTTATTCCACTGTCTGTGGCTTTGGACCTTATTTTTGTCATGGCCATTTACTAAATACATATACATTTTTCTTGTTTACTTCATGATCCAGCTTTAATATTTTAATGGTTTGTCCAGAATTACTAAAATAATTCAAAGCTCATCCCTGAGAGAAAAGCTGTAGCTGAAAGCCACCCCAGGGCTGGGCTGGGATCACCCCCTGGCTCCAGGAGGGCAGGTATTGATGGAGGCACGGGGAAGTGTCAGTTTGATGAGGAGAATGAGGAGCCCTTTGGAAGGTTTGTATAGATTTTGGTACCAATACCTTTACTACTGGTTTCCTAAGCACATCACAAATGAAACCCAAGCAGGATGCAGTCACATGGAAAAGCAAGCAGCAATGTATGGATGAATGAAGCAACCATGGTTAACAGCAGGACCCTGTCCTGGGTTTCAGAGGGGGGAAGAGGTGAACCAGAGAGGAACTGTTGTCTCCTGAGAAGACATTGGGGAATTTGGGATGCAAACGAAACGTGGTGTAGTACTGTGTAACAAAAAAAAGCTTCTTTTTTTTTTTTTTTTTTTCAGATTGGAATATTTTCCCATTTGCTCCAGTCCTCTCTGCCTGGCCGTGGTGGCTGCCCCTCAGCCCCCCTGGGAATGCTCTCCCCACACTCAGTGTACATTGGCAGCCACCCTGCTTCCAACTCTGAGAACATCCCACTCTGCTGCAGCAGGACTGGGAGAGTTTGGCTTTGTTTGTTTTCCTTCCCCCCCAGGAGGAGGCTGTTCCCGAAAATGCTCCCAGTGATTCTCACCTCAGGTACCTCCCGTGGGTTCCCAGGCTGTGGTCTGGGGGGTGGGAACAGCACAGGGAGTCATTCCTGCTGGTGCCCACAATGAAGCAGGAGAAAATCGTGCAACAACTGGCATCTCAGTGGAGGAGGAAGGCACAGTGTTACCCTTTCTTTATCAACCCAAGTCCTGGAGCTCAGCTCTGGCACCCGTGTGCTGCAGATAAAGCATCACTGGGGCTTTTCCCTGTATTGTTTGTGCAAACTTATTTACTCTACCCTTTTTTAATTCCACTTGGGGCCTGATCCTGCAAGCACCAGCTGACAGGATTGTGCAATCAGTTCTTTGGTGTCCAGAAGTGCATGTGCTTGGTGGCAGAGCAGCCTCTGCCTCCAGCCCCAGCTGAGCTCTGGTGTCTCCAGGCAGAGCTCTCGGCTCTGTGCAGTGTGTGAGGGGTGGCCTGGGAGGGGACCAGGCTCTGCTCCCCTGGGGAACTTGGCTTGCACATCAAGTGGAAACTTTCATTATTTACCAACTGGTCAAAATGACTTTGCTATTGACATAGGCTTCATTATGTCAGCCATTCCATTCTTTGAAAACATGGGCATAACAAAGACAGAGCGGTGGCAGGGAGGGGGAAATTCCATTTCTTCCTAAATTGAGTGGAAACATCTTCAGGAAAATTAAAGAAAAACCCGAGAGAAGGAGAAGAGCAAAAGAATTAACTGTAGCCAAAGCCACTTTCCTTTTTCTTTTTCAATCTCCCTTCCAACATGCTCCTGGTAAAATCATTACAAAGGCCGTTTATTTTTAAAATTGAAAGATTGGGGAGAGTCATAATGAGATATTATGTGTAAAAGTTGCACATAAATTTCCTTCTGTCATATTTTGGGCTCTCCTAACGCATCCCCTTGGCAGGCCTGAGGGAAGCTGATCGCTTTAGTATAGATTGTGTGTGCTTCAATAATATTGCCCAAGGACAGAGCTACTGGGTGGCTGAGTTGGCTACATACTGATTTAAAAATTAGCTGGGCTTTTATTTGCCACACTAAATTGCTCTCAAAAAAAAAAAAAAAAGGAAAAATGAAAAACTTTTATCTGAGAATGAAGCAGCGGGTTTGAAGCAAGACCCTTCTTTCCTTTCTTTTTTGGGAACGCGATTTTTTTGCTCACTGGAGAGTTTTGTGCTCTCTCAGCTTTCCAGGGAGCCATGGAGGAAAGGCAGGGTGGTGGTGTGTGATAGAGGTGAGGTCAGTGCTCAGTGGCTGCTCTCTGGAGTCTTTCCTCACGGGTTGCCCTGCACAGGTCTCAAGGATGTGGCCTTGGACAGTTCAGTGTCACACAACAGCCTGGCCTTGCTCTCAGGTCAAACACATCTGTCACCCTGTGACAGTGTAGTGACCCAAGATGCTTAAATTTCTTACAGAAGAGTCCTGAATGTTTTTCTGTTGTTTTTGTGATTAGTTGAGTTTGAAATGTACTCTCACATCTGCAGCCTGGGCTTTGTGCCCCTTCTCTGAGTCGAGGACTTGTCCTGAAAGCCATGAGGGTCATGCCTGGTTTTTCTGCTGAATTTGGTGGGACCTGATGAGGATTTTATTTCTTTATTCATATTTTGTTTGCATTGTCCCCGTCTCTCTGAGGTTTTTGTGCTTCCAGGAACTCAACTCGGGGATCTGTGCAGCTGCCAAGAGCTGGGACATTTCCTTTTCCTGTCCTTTCTTGGTCTAAACCAAAAATTGGTCTTCAAGGAGGCAAAGACCATCAAAGAGCAAAAGAATAAATAGTAATTCATACCAGTCTTTGCTAATATCCTTAATTTAGAGCTCTGGAGTCCAAGTCCTAGCCACATTGCCTCTGTATTCCATTTTTTTATGAAACATTTGACCTATTTACTCACTTTTTGACCCAGCAGTCTAAGAAATATAAGATGGAAAAGACATGACCAAAATGAGAGGTTTAAATAAATAGCTTTTAGTGTGGGAGAAGGCCAAATTCATTGTAAATGTAAACATGTATTTTTGACATGAGCCAAATCTATGTACCCTTATACTTTGGGCAAATCTGAGTGAATCTGAGCTTTACATCCAGTCTGTGTCTCAGTCCTGTGCCAAACAAACACTGGAGCTGTGACTTGGAAAGCCAATACTTTAGCTCGGATTCAGATAAACCTGCTCTGAACCAAACCTCCCAAGCTCGTCCCATTGGGAATTATAGTTAATTAAATTAAGATTTCAGTCTTCTTCACTGGTATCTTCATCTCTGGGTAGCAGCCTTGGGCAAGGTTGAAAGTGAAACTTGCTTCCTTTGCTGCAGGGCAGCTTTGTCTCCAATCGACTCCGGGATCAGGAGCTCCATGTGCAGCTGTTAAAGCTCCTCCCCACAAGCTGCTCTGCCAGCAGTTCTGAACCCCTGTTCCTGCAGGTATCCAGAGTGCTTTCATCTGCTGTGAACTGGAAAAGGAGGCCCAGGGTTTATTAAAGGGTTTGTGTTGCTAACGTGTCGTACATCACACCATTCATTAGGAGCAATTCCTCCCTCCCCAGTTGGGTGGCTCCCCAAGGCTGCCAGTGTGGATAGATTATATTCCCCTGCCTCCCCAGCCCACGCTGCAGGACTGATTGCACCCCAGAGACACTCCAACCTCTCCAGGTAATTCCATGGCTGAGGCTCCAAACCTAAGGAATTAAAGGAACCTCTGCCCTGGGCTCTGCTCCCCTGGTAATGAGCCCCAGGGCTGTGGCTGTGGGTCCGTGTGGGTCCATGTGTTCCCAATCACAGCCCACCCAGGGAAATGTTTGCTTTCAGGGACAGTCTGGAGAAACCTCACGGGGATGGGGGGGGGGTTATATATAGAGACGTGCATGTAATAATAATAATAATAATAATTATCCTCATTAGAAAGTTAACTCCAGTTGCTTCCAGGACTGGTGGGAGGGCTGGGTGAGGTGCCAGGAAACCCCAGCCCAGGCACAGCCCCTCACATGGCCCTGGGGGGCACTTGGGGAGCCCCAGGAGCTGCTACCTTCAGCAGGGGGCTGATGGTCCCCCTTCAGCTGGGGCTGCACAGGTGAGGTGGGCACATCCTTTGTCTGTTCTCTCACTGGAAACCAGTTGCTTTTGTAACATTTTGCACCCAGCTTTGATCCCACAGCAACTGTTTCATTTATCCAGGCTCACCTAACAACCCCCTAAATCTCTGTGCTTCTCACCAGTGCTCCCCCCTCAAAGTTCCTGAGGATCAGGGACACAGACTGGGATGCTGGATGGTTATTTTACCGAGAGGAACAATATTATCCCTCACACTGAGCGATAGGGTATAATTAGAGCTGTTCAGGAATTTTGTCATTAAAAGTCTTTTGGTTGGAAAATGCCAATTCTTTGAAACAAACCTTTTGGAATAAAGGGCAAGGTTTCTAGTGTCAAAGAGGAACAAACTCTGGAATAACCACTAGCCCTGGGTAAAGGAGAGCTGTGTTCCAGTCCCAGTGAAAGTGCAGGTTACCTGCATAGTCAAACCAGAACTGTAAAACAGCAGAGAAAGGGTTCTGTGCTCTCCTGGTGCACAGGCAGCTGTACAGCAAGGGTTTGAAAGAGGTCTGCCCTGACTGAGCAGGGATTCCTGACTATTTCTGATATTTCAGGAAGCATAACCAAGTTTAAGGACTCTCAAAAAGTAGAACATTTCTTTAAAAGGTGATATTGAAAATGTGTGCAGGAGGGATAACCTTTGGCTCTTGCTGCAGTGACCCCACTGCTGGGGAGGGCAGAGCAGTTCACAGGTCACAGAATTGTTTAGGTGGAAAAAGAGCTCCAAGGTCATCGAATCCAACCATTCCCACAGCACAAAGGCCACCACTAAACCACGTCCCCAAGTGCCACATTCACGTGTCTTTTAAATCTCTCCAGGGATGGGGACTCCACCACTGCCCTGAGCAGCCTTTTCCAGTGCTTGACAACCCTGATATCCAACCTAATCTCCCCAGCACAATTTGTTAGGGGAAGACCCAAATCTCTGCAGTCACAGGCAGTCCTGGATACCAAACCCATTTACAGGTAATTAATGACCAGCTGGCAGAGTCATTGCTTTGCTAACTCAGTTAGTGATGGCATTTACACAGCCCCCACTCTCCACTGGCTAACAATGACAATCCAGCCCATCAGGAGGATAAACCTGTTGTGTTGGAGGTGGGATGTGTGAGCTAAGGAGCCATCAGCCCACATCCCACAGACACCACTCCCAGGGGAGCCCACTGTGGTCCCCAGCACTGCTGGTGTCCAGCCCTGCCCCAGTGGGGCACTCCAGGAGCAGTTCCAGGATCTTGGTGAGTCCCAGTGCCAGGAACAGCAGAGCTGCACATTCCCTGCAGGAACACTGCTCCAGGTCCCAGTGTTCCCTGGGCTGGATGGGCAAGGAAAGTGCTGGGAAAGCTGCTGGAAGGCAAGTCAGAGTGCCAACCTCTGGGCATTATAGGATGTAACAAATGAACCTGAGTAGGCAACCATGCAACACACACTTCTTTGTGTTCACTGAGCTGAGCTCCGGGGCTACACAGGAAAGAAAATTTTAATTTTTTTTTATTTTAGTTTTCATTTTAATCAAGAATTTTGCTGTTGCTCAAGGCCTTTGGTTTATTACAGGATTGCTGCTTCAGTGAAATGTACCCAGTTCTCTGGGAAAGGCTGGCTTTGATGACTACTCAGGTTTGAAGGAATTCTGGAAGAGATTATTGAACCAGGACTTTTCAACATTCTCATAAAGAAAGCTGTGTTTCTCATTTGAAGGTGACTTTCTAATTTGGAATTGGAATAGTATTTTCTTTAGATAGGAAATAGTCCAATTCTGAAATAGCAATGTTTTGTATCTTTATATATCTCTATTAACCTGATATCATTATGGAATGTATAATTTACAGTTATTATGGCAAAAAGAAAATATTTGAGATAATTCCTTTTAAAATAAAAATCTGTTGAGAGAAGTGATTCAGAAATTTCAAGAAGCCTTGAATGTAAGAAAATCTTTTCCCTTCTCTTTCAAGTACCATTTGCTTGAATGCCATTTAATGTTGGTTTTACATTTGGCTGAATTTCCTCTGTTTTAAAGACTTTTAATTTGCATTAAAAAAAAAAGCTTGGAAATCCATGTGGTGGCCACTGAGGACTTGCACTATTGAAAAATGTTGCTAGGAGCTGGAGATCCAAGAAACCAAACACAAGAAAACTGCTCCTGGAAGTCCAGAAATAGGAAGAATGAGGAGATCAGTGAGTTAGTATTGCTGGGGCCTGGACATTTGATGTCAAGGGATGTGGAGTATGGATATCAGGGTTTAGGGACACTGGGGCAGAAAAGGCAGCCACCAGTGATTAGAAGGATAATTGTACCAGGACAGAGAGAAATAAAAACAAGTTTATTGCTCGCAGTTTGTGTTGGTGCTGTATTTCTAAGGGGACCATGAGTATGGGCTAACCCAGCATGAGATCAAACAGCAGTGCCTGCTCTAATGTTTTTTTGCCCCCCCCAAAGACTGTTTATTAGCAGTTTATTTAAAATAATGAAATATGAGTTGTCAGTTTATTCAGGCTAAATTTTAACATGGATTTCTGTGCAAAGGCAGAATCACTTCTGAGCTAAAATCATGTATGAACTCTGCAACCCTTTGGCTTCTCTTTGTCAACTTTCCCAGATTAAAATGGTTTTGCTTTTAGGAATGACCTCTCTCATTTTCAGGTACTCTTTGAGATCTGTTGCCAGGCCATTGGTTCACTAGTGTGGGTTTCCTGACAATGGTTAGGAAGCAAAGGACAGACCTTTAAAGAAAAGACACCCATGCACACACCAGTTACCCACACTGCAGCTTTTAGGAAGGTTTTTGCACCAAGCCTGTTTTGACTTATGTAGATTTTTGCTCTAGATTTTAGTCAGAAACTGAACTCAGTAAACTTGAGTCTGTCCTGAACTGTACATCTGAAGGAACAGACTTGGAATTTTGGTCTGCAGCTGATACTTGTAGTTGTGTCCCCCATATCTCAAGACCAAATAGCAGTTCATATGTGAACACCCTCTTAGCAGCAGAGATTTAGCATGAGCTTTTTTGCAATAAACCCCCACTGCTTGGTTTAACATGTTATTTTTAAACTTGGAAACAAAATCATCCCAGTTGCATATTCACAGACATGAAAAAGAGGCATTTCATACATGCAACTGTATTTTCAGAAGGGATTCTCCTTTTGTTCCAAGGAGTGCCCGACAGCATCCAGGACAAACCCTCCTGTCACAGATGGAATGATTGTAGAAGAGTATTCAAACAACTTTATCTTCTCTTTTTTGCATTGTGTGCCCATATGTGCACGAATCTTCCCTTAAAAGAACATTCTTAAGATTGCAAATGCTCAAAAGCTGGGAAATGCCAATGGAAAATATGTTCTCTGATCATCCTTAATTGTATAAAATAAAACTTATAATAGGATGAGGTGGAAGAGACCTTAAGATGTTATCTCGTTCTCTGTGATTCAAGGCAGGATTAGCTCAGTCATCCAACAGTTATTAAACATGTTCTTTAATGTCTCAGGTTCTCCTGATTTTTTCAAAAGAACTGTGGCTTTTGGGGATCCTTGGGAGGTAGCATTTAAACCTATCCAGAACTGAAGCTCTGCATCTTATTATGGAGATGGGAAGGTGATTGAGGAAACTACTGTTAATTAAAAGAAAAGTTAGATTCCTCTATTTTGAGTAATAATATCAGAAGTGAGACTGAGCATATTTTACTCTTCAAAAGAAATACAGCCTGGAGAAAGTGATAAGAACTACTAGGGCAGAAGTTGAACCCTCTGTAGTATATTTACATCCAGTGTTGTTCCTACTTTACTGGTGCTGTGGTAAGGGTAATTAGGAAGAGACTAATCAGAAGTCTTAAGGTGTTGTGTCTGATGTGTTCTCATGTACAAATAAAGAGATGGTGTAGGGGAGGTGCAGTTGAATCTCAAAAAGGGGTTCTGGAGGAAGTGGAAAAGCAAATATTCATGCTCCAGGCTCCACTATGAAAGGAACAAAGTTTATGAGACTGAGAAATGCCAGAAACCAGCCCAGGGGGAATGTGCTGGAGAGGCAGCATGTGTGGCCTGTGGGGATGGAAGAAGCTCTGACCTACTGGCAACTCTCCTCCTGAGCAGCTGGGGAAGCTGGGACAGGAGTCCCTGGTGGGGCACAGGCTGGAGCCCTGGGCAGTGGGAGCTCAGGGCTGTGGGCACTGAGCTCGGGACATTTGGGAGGACATGAAATGGGTCTGGTTGGGCTGTGAAATGCGGGGTGGGAGCTCAGGGTGTCTGTGGGGTTGGGTGGGAGCTCAGGGTGTCTGTGGGGTTGGGTGCTGACAGCAGGCTCTACAAAGCTGGAAGACTGAAGATGGGAAGGAAACATTTGCTTAAACTCTGATGTGAGGAAATGGGCCAGCCTTCACCCCCTGGGCATGCAGGGAACCAGGAAACACAGGAGTTCAGGTTGAGTATTTGCATTTATCTCCTGAATGTTGCCATGTGCACTCTGCAGTGTAAGGCAAGACCTGCTGAATTCTAGACAAAGACAAGGCAATTAGAGGATGATCCAACTGCAGTGCTGAAGGCCTGTGCTTTGTCTTCTGTTTATTCATAACCTTCTGTTTAAAGTAATCTTGGAGTTTAACTTACTAAACAAATCTTTCTTATTCATAAGCCTTCCTGTCTTGAAGGGGAGAGGGGGAGTGAAGAAAGGTGAGTGTGACAAACAGGGTGATCTTTTTTTGGGAAGACAGTGACTCTTTTTACAGAAATAGCAGCTTCTTGATGAATATGGACCCAGGAATACGGATTCAGAAATATGCTCAGGGAAGCTGGGGGATGGAGAGCAATTACAGACAAGCCTGGGAAACAGGATCATCCATCAGAATAAAGGGAGCTGATGGGAGAAGTTGTGAGTGGTCCAAAGCCCCATCCCATCATTGCTGGTGTGTGGCTGCAGTGAAGGCACTGCCAGGAGCAGCTGGAGGTCACAGCCACGGGCTCCTCTGCCTTGGTCAGGCTGCAAAAACTCAGTGAGTAAAACTGCAAACTGCAAGAGCTGGGAAGTGGCTTCTCCTGGGACTTCACTGAGGATTTCCCTGCCCTTTGCTTCAGATTAAGCCCAAACTGAGCATTGGCAGCCTCAGGGAGCCAGCATGGGTTTGGGTGAGCTTAAACAATTGGCTTTGAAGCTTTGGTGATTCTCAGATGTTTGTATGTTAGAACTTGGCCCTCAAATGAACTGGCCAAACACCCCTCACAGGAGGGAGGATTTATCACATCCAGGTCCTGACGTAAATATGGTTTAGAGCTTATATTTGCAAAATCCAGTGGGTGGGTGGACTGGCTTTTGAGATAGAGTTTTGGATACTCAGTGCAAACAAATCTCAGTTATGTATCACTAACTTATTTTATGATATGTCTTCAGGAAAAAGAGGGGGAAGTGATACTTGAAACACACATTTTTTAAAACAAATTTCAGTTTTGAGAAAACCTCGATAAATTATGAGTTGATTCTGCTTCAGCTATTATTTACTAGACATTTTCAGAGAATATCTATTTATTTATTGTCCTCTGAGACCACTAGAGAGGAAGGAAAATGCAGTTAGTCCATCACTTCACTGGATAAAGAGGGATGCAAACTCTTAATAAAGTATCGATGGCACCCCAAGGGGACAAAAAGAGATTTGCATCCCAGTGGCCCAGCTGACAGCACATGAGTTACTGCAGCAGCAGCCAGGCCCTGTCAGAGACAGGAGCATGAGGAGAGAAGAGGGAGCAAAACATGATTTGTACTGGCATGCAGTGAACAAGCTAAGCTGTGTAAAAATGAATACATGAAATTAGAAGGATTAATGGGACAAGTTAGTGCAGGGTAGCAGGGAAAGTCCCCTGTCTAGGCACTTCTGCCAGGATCCACCCAGACAGGTTATTTTTTTTTAAACTTGCTTTCTTTTGTAAGTGAAATTTCATCTGGAGGGCACCTCATGAACAGGATTCAATTCCTCCCTCCCAGCTCCACCTGGATAAGCCCTTTGAGCTTTTATATTTTTCTTTTATTAAGAAAATCATGGTGGTTTTCACAAAAGCCTGAGATGTTGGCTTGATATAAGGAAGGCTAATGGCATGTTGGCCATCAGAAATCATCCAGTGAGTTCATTTGCATTGAATGCTCCTCTTAACCTCATGTTGTAAATCACTTTTAAATAGCTGTGCTGCTTCACCCCAGGGCTGGCTGCAGTTCAGGACTCAGCAGAAGAGTTTCTGCTTGTGCTGCGAAGGCCTTTGAAATCACTTGTGATAAAACTGCAGAGATGCAAGGTTTTTACTATTTAAATCACAAAGCAGGGCCTAAATATTTCTCCACAATAACAGTTTGCTAAGGAGCACAGTCTGTTCCTTTCAAGCCAGTCCACTCCCACCTCTGAAGTTAAACAAAGCTCTGTGTTCTATATATGCAGCATTTGTCCCATTAGGTGGTTGTTTTTTGGGTTTTTTTTTTAGTATTATACCTGGTTTTGATCTTGCAAAAGGCAATTACAACACTCACAAGATGACAGTCATTGCACACAACAGAAGGCTGACTAATTGAGGGAAAGGGATGATATTTGGGAAGGAAAAACAAAGCTGTGACATGTAAAATTACATATAAAGTGAGCTTTTTTTTTTTCCCCTTATAAAATTCTCAACAAGTGAACTCCAGATGTCAGCATTTAAACACTGTCAGGTATTTCTTGTACTAGTGTAGCATCTACAGCCCCACAGGGAAATCCCAGGCCTTGCACACTCCTGACCTGGGGGGCACAGCAGGCACTGGAGAGGGAGACAAGTCAGAAAAGTGAAGAGCAGGAAATATTGGCACTATTTTGGAACAGTTGCTTTCTCCGTTTAAATATAACTCCAACAAGTTGCAGCTGACCCCGACTGATCAGAATTTAAGATGTGTAGGGGTTGGTGCCAGGGAAAAAGATAAAACAAAAATTAAAGAGGCCAAAATAAACCTTGAAGTCTACAGGTGCAGTGACAATTCAATTGTCTCAATTTTCTACTGAGGTAAAACCTTCCTAGGTGGACATCACAATAATCCCAGTTGTGTTCAGTGTCAGCTGCTGTCATTGCTGTTTGGGGACTGGAGCTCCATGGGCAGGTCTGCACATCCACCCTGCTCCTTCTCGCAGGAGAAACATCATTGTCCTGCAGTCACATCTTCAATCACATCACCCACATCACTCCTCAGTGAGCTGTTGCTGACTCTGTGTGGCTGTAACAGTTTGGTTACATCACCTTGGGAGGGGAAGGAGCTTCTCTGCTGGTCTGGGGAAGAGTTGGGAAGAGCCATGTGAAGGTGCTGCTGCTGTGCCGGCTCTGACAAGCATGTGGGATCTTTTAAGGGGGTTTTTTTTAGTCTGTTTTCTGTGGCTTACCATTTTTCTTGATCTAGAAGCAAACTCAAGTCAGATTTGGAAGTCTTACTCCTTCTTCTTCTTCTTCTATTTTCAAAAAGAGAATGGTTTGTACCTACTGAAGGGAGATTGCCTGAAAGAGATTTATTGAGCAGCTTGAGGATTTGTAAGCCTTATATTCCTACAGTCCTGTCTCAGGAGATGTTAGCATGAAACCTTGGATAGATCCACTGGGAATGTCAGCTTTTCTTCCTACTTGATCTGATGAGGTTTTATTCAGTCATGCAAGGCCTTCCTCCCCTGCTCATCACTGCTTTTATCCACGACCACGTGTCCTGATGGGGGAACACAAGCAAGGCCCTGCTTGTGAAGACCCTTCAGGAGGGTTGTCACACCCACACATCACCCCTGGGACATGGGGAGGCCAATGCTCAGCCCTGGCTTCTGTCAGAGGACAACTCTTGGTCTGAGTGTGAAAATATCCCCTAGGACCAGGAGTTATCAAATGCAGTAAATGCTGACGGGAGCCTGGCTGCTGAGGAGAGTTAAAGCTAAATTGGACTTGGCCAAAAAGGTAATGAGAGTCAGAGCTGGCAGAAAAAACTAGGTGTGCTTCAAAAATAATGTTTTGCTTAGATTGTTGAGTTGTGGTCAAGGGAACGAGGAGGGGACAGGGCTGCTGTGACAGGGAATGGGAGTGCAGGAAC